CTGTTATACTAATTAATAAAAAGGACAAGAGATAATTGTAGCGGAGGTCCCAAACCTCTCATTTTATTAGAGAATATACCTTAACCTTTTATTTTTGCGATCGTAGTCCCAAATATTTTACTTTAACTACACTAAGTGCATCATCCATGGCTCTTGGAAGGCAGTGCTTCGGCTCCAAGCGACAGCCAATCGAGTAACTACTGTGAGTAGTGTTGAAAAGAGCCGAAGGCAGCTGTTGTTACAGTTTGGCGACCAATTCAAAACCCACTGCCACTTACTTTGCCATCAATGGCTTTGCCACCTAAATGAATCGCTCTCTACTCCGATTAAGCCTATTTGCCAACACCTTGTTCTTGTGAACCTTTTGAATCCCAAAGCACTCCCCCAAGAATGTAGTGAGGAATGCAGAGCATAGAAAGCAATTTCACCAATTAGTTCTGATTTTTTTCCCAAAATTTCTATTTTTGGCGTTGCTGTTGGATGACGAGTAAATAAATCTGCTTCCCCAATTAGATTTGAAGCTTTTTAAGGTTGCTACTAGATAATGAGTAAGAGAAGTAGAATTCTTTGATTGAGAGTTGTGTTGATAGAGGACGGTTGGGGTTTTGGGAAAAAATTGATTGATGGTGGTTTTGATGGAGGGTTTTGGGGGTTTTCAGCAAGCAAAGTAGAATTATTTGATTTGGGGTACTGGTTGGGCGGGGTTGATGTGGCGGGAATGATTGGTGTTGGTTGTAAGAATTCATTGAGTTCTAGCTTTGGATTTTGGAATTGGAAGTGGGGGTGGGGTGATTTGCAAAAGACGAAGTTCAATTTTTTTTGTTTTTTATTTAATTATAGGAATATAAATTGACCATTTTACCTCTCATTTAATATTTCAATTTGAGTTAAATTTTCAATTTCAGTATTGACTAACGGGGATTCTGGATGGAATCCATCCAATGGATTCCGACTGCCATTAAAGTAAAAAGTTTGAGACTGCAACTGTACAAATAAAATGCTAAGGTATATTCTGCAACAAAATAAAAGGTTTGGGACTATCGTTGCAATTTTCCTAAATGACAAATCCACCATTCAATGACCAAAATGAAAGGAAGCACGAGGTTTTTTTTCCACATAATTAAAATATTGGAGATGAATTATGCTAAAAACGTTTAGGGTAGATATATTACATTTCGTAAAAGTTGATAACAAAATATAAGAATTTCCTTTATTAATAATAGGAAGAATTGCACTTGGTGTCCCAAATCTTTTAAATTATTACAGACTATACCTAAATCTTTCATTTTTCACTCACAGCCCCAAACCTTTCATCTCGATTACAGCTGAAGGGCATATGAACATAATTCGTCCACTTGACTACTAGTCGACCCAAATAAATCAATTTGACTACATTTTGATTAATTTTTAAAAGGACAAAACTGTAATTCTATATATTTTTCAAAAAAATAAAAATAAAAAGTTAAATAAAAAATTGAGAATTGTTCATATTCTTCCTCACCCACCCCTAACACTCGACCAAACCAAAATCCATGCCATCGTACCAGTGCCATTGACGCTACCATTGCCATCCTCTCCCTTCACAGAGAAAGAGCATCATTGAAAGATTAAAACTAGTTCAGTCTGACAAAATCACCTTTTTATTCAAATTGCATCCCCTCCTCTCTACATGGTGCAACTCATTACATGCTGAAACTTAACAATTAATCGTAAATTGTGAATCGATCATCTAGAGCAAAGATTCAATAAATTTTCAATTTCGAACTGAATCGAACCGTGGGGTGGGGAGGAAGATGATCCATTCTCAATTTCTTTTATTTTTTTATTTTCCGTTTAAAATCAATTAAAATATGGTCAAATTAATTTTTTGGTTGACTAACGGTCAAATGGACGGATTCTATTTATATATCCTCCACCTGCAATCAATAATAAAGGTTTGGGGTTGTCGATACAAAAATGAAAGGTTTTGATATAATTTACAAAAATATAAAAGATTTGGGACCTCACTGCAATTTTCCCTTAATAATACGTTGTAGGTAATGACTTATTTCGCTAGTGTTGCTATCTCGTACACATGATTTTAGGGTGCGTTTGATTGTAAGGGTGGAAAATGGGTGTGAATAAAATGTTTTGTAGGGAAAAAATTTGCCTAGAAAATGCTTTGCAGAGAAAATGATTTCAAATGTGTCTAATTGATATAATTTTCCACCTGAAAAATTTTTAAATTTTCTATTCGTTTGGTTTTGTTTTACATGAAAATTGTCTATTAAAGTGATATTTTTTTCCACAATTGGTTATAAAATTTGTTTCCATTGCCAAAAAGTAAAAAAAAAAAAGAAAAAATAATTATTTCCTAAAAAATTATTTTTTTAATCAAAATTTAGTGTTCGTTTGACTTTGTTTTACAT